TGACAAGCATTGGCTTTGAGAACGTGAAGGAAAGTTACGAATCAATATACTAAAAGGTTCTTTGTACATTTTAATCATTAGTACCTGGAGGACCGAGCTTTGCACGGTTTTTTTTTCGGTAAATCGTGTATTTTGGAAATAAAAAAAATAAAAAAGCAATGATCTGAGATAGAAATAAAAGTAAAAAAAATATGTGTGTAATCATGACATTTTTTGTTTCGGCGAAATTTACCGTCATATTCGGATGATATTTTTCATTCGCTGAAAACATGGATAAAAGGACATTTTCTAAAAATGAAGCTAGATCGATTTTAGCCCCCGAATCGCTGGAGCTGTTTCCGAGATTCCGATTATATATATACAAGAATTGCTCGTTTAAAATTTTAATTTATCACTCGCTCAACGCCGAGCGACTGATTAATCAAAATTTAAAATCTCAATTGACAATGTCGTTCGTGCCAGAATTTGAACTAAGGTGTCCCTAGTAGGTGTCTCACAGTCGGCCACGCAGCAGCCTCGGCTGTTGCACAAATGGGCAGGCTCGTTCGGGAAAGTACCACAAACTCACACAAGACCGGCGTAAAGTGGAAGTATAATACTTTCGCGGGTCGTCTGGTAAGTGATGTGGCCGGAGGCTAGTTTTCAAAAGGTTCTCAACGCATCGGGAACCCTCGGCTGTAGCAGATGTCCATGGGCGGCGGTATTCACCTAACATTAGGTGAGCCGTCTGCTCACTTGGCAACTTTTCACATTAAAAAAGTATGTTTAATTAAAAGCTGGTTCCCGAACAGCACCAATGGGCAAATATTTTCTAACGCGCATAGAGAGATGTCTTTCATCAGTTGAAGTATGCTTGAAACATGTGCATCAGTTACCTAGTACCCTTAGGTTTGCTTGCTTTCGGCCAAGATAAGGTTTGCAAAATCAGGTCCCAAAATATTAACCATTATTGTTATTAATTAGTTTTATTTTTGACTACTCACTAACACTTAACATTTGAGCATACTTAAGTAAAATTCTTCGCTGAGAAAGATTCGGAGACACTTTTAGAACACAAATAAACTAACAGCTGTTTAACTCTGCGTTACGCAAGGCAAACTTCTAACGCGTATTCGATAACTGTCGTCATTAACCGAAAGTTGAATAATAATCATAGCTAAGCATAACCCGTCGTGAGAGAACAGCAACAGGTTCCGAGAAATGCTCGGACTTTCACTCGAAACTGTATAAAAATCTTCCGAAACGGCATCCGGTTCTACGACTCCGTAATAGCAATTTCGTCGTACAGACGCATAACGTACCCTATAGTGGCTATTTTCCTTTATAATTTAATATAATTTGGACAGCAATTTATCAAATTTAACTTACTAATTTGGTGCAATAGCAATTTTTTGTATTTTTTTTTTATTTTGACGTGTCGTCATTAACACATGGTACATAAAACTCAAATGTCGTAATAAAATAATAATTGTCACAAACTGATGAGATGTATTACATAATATTACAAAAAAACTCGAAAAAAAGTGGAAAGCTTTATCTTTCTTTGGTCATCTTTTGGACGATAAAGGCACGTGTAATACAATTTTTATTCCACGTAACCCATTTAATTTAATTTCCCTAAGCACAGCGTTGGCCAGATACCAAAGAATAGAAGTTATAACTGACATGTGAAATGTTTGTTTATTTAGAATTATAACAAATTTAATTCATAATTAATTATCAAATCCTGTTGGCATTAAAATTTTATTAAAATACGTGCCACTTCATGAATAAAAACATTATTTCTCGACTTTCGACTATAAAAACTTATCTTTTCCAATTTGGGGCTTTTAACTCTCCTTTATGCTTATTAATCACTTATCTTTTTTTTGCGTAAAACTTTTACATTCACATCGCCTTATTCATATTTCTCTCTATTCACATTCGTCTAATTTCTTTTTTTTGTCACACCGGGAGAATTAGTTACAATTTTATTAGAAAAAAGGAGATCGATACTGGCTGATAACAAAGAAGACAAAGAAAAGAAAAATAAACGTCATTAGCTTTCCACAGATTACAAACAACGTAGACGTTCTTATGACGAAGCAAAACGCGCGTATTCAAGCGGCACCCGACGCAGATTTACGAGCGTCAATCGACACTTATCGCGAAACTTTTATTCACGTTATAACTTACTCGTGCTCGTTACGTAATCCCGACGTATCTCGCGTTTATTGATTAAAAACTTTTACGTAAAACCCGAGAAATGTGAAAGCAATAAACGATGTTATCAATATCGTTTTTGTCACTTTATGGATTAATATGAGAGAGAAATTTATTGTCACACGATTTATTATCCTATTTTAGGTTTCGATATATAACGCTAGATTGTGTGCATGCTTCTATATCAAAAAGGTATTGTTATAATCGATGCTGACACTAATTTTCACTGACAAAAAAATCAAAGATTTAAAATAATATTATTCACTGAGTCTGACCTTGCTATAAAATCACTGAGTCTGACCCGTGATCTGATACTGTAGTCTTCCAAACGTCTAATTAATTTATAAACAAATTAAACACGATAAAAACCGTAAAATTGTATATTTACAATCACTTAAATTTTACAAAAACGAAGAAAACTTTCTGATGGTTCTATTATCAATTACTAAAATTTCTTAAGTGGGATAAAAGTAATGATATAATTACAGTTTAACTAAAAAATCTGTAAAATAGAAATATAAATAAATAATAATAATAAGGGGATTAGCGATAGCTACCAGAGCAGTGTACTTTAACAACTTTTTACTTTTATTATCAATTTACCGTAGAATTTAAATCAGCATCAATCTCTCCGTAGATCCATTCGCAGGTAGACATTTGCTACGGGGGCGTCTGGAAAAAATGGGTCGGACGCTTTCCAATTATTTATAGATTCGCATGGATTTAGATAACGACCCTGCGTGACGTGCTAGGGGTGTGACGCGGCGCGTGACGCATCGCTCGTCATAGTGACGCACCCCCATGTCACGTTGCGTCGTCGGCTTCTCACGTATATGCACCCGCTTAGGAATCCGACAAACGTTTTACAAATGATTTCTCTTAAACCGCTCAATAAGGTGTTACATGATATAATAAGGAATGCAGCATTTGCTAAGGAACAAAATAAGCTAAATATTTTCAGTTTCACGAATGGATTTGGCATTGAAATTTATTTACTACTAGCTTTTCGCCCGCGGCTTCGCTCGCGGTGAAGCCCTTAAATAAACATATTTCTTTAACCTTTCAACCCTTTACAACACTTTTTTCCAATTAAAAAAATAGCCTATGTCCTTTCTCATGCACTAGACTATCTGTGTACCAAATTTCATTTAAATCGGTTCATTATTTTTGTCGTGAAAGCGAGACAGACAGACACAGTTAATTTCGCATTTATGACATTAGTAGATAATTATAATTATTGTCATGACTTAATGTACAAGTATTTATAAATATTTACTATAGGCATATAATAGAAACCGTTTAAAATATTAAGGATAATTTATATAATTTTGAATTGTAATGTTTTTGTTCAAAAAAAAGTTTGTAATAATTATATAAATCACGTATTGATCAGTCAAATTTATTGTTTTTAGCAATAATGAAGAATGTCTTTACCGAATATTTTATTTTATATTATCGATTACTTTTATTTGGTTTGTTCTACTGGTAGGCGCACTATTGTGTGCGTGATAAGAAAAATAATATTTTTTTTTTATTGCAATAGTTATCAACAGTTGAATGGATGTAAATTTAAGTTACATGTTTTCTCATTATTCCTGTTTTTAAATATCGGTCTAAAAGGAAAAAAAACATAGGTATTAAAAAGATAAAGACATATCTCTGTGCAACTGGTCAAAACAAAATAAAAGCCCAAGTATTCTTAAACAATTTACGTGACGACGCATTCATAATGCCCAAGGTTCTTTGATAGGTAATGGACATGAGTAAACTACTACGCGGTTTTGAACGTAAATAGCTGTTCCCAAAGTACTTATTTGCATATTGGAATAACTATTTTAATCTGAACGATTCTGATAATCTGTAAGCCGGTGTAAAATTGATTTCCTACGACGTTTTCTTCGACAGAGCATTTTTCATAATAATTTACTTTATGAACATCATTCGAATAATCCATGTTCGAGAGTTTTCATTAGCCAATGGTTTGGCATAAACGTTGAAGTTACCCGAAATTTAGACACAGTTAAATTTTTGGTACATTTTAATTATTTTGAATATATGTATTATGAAGTAGTTAAAGCGGTAAAATCAGAGAGCCAACTTATTAATCAGAATGAGCGAATTTATTTATTACTGTAATCCAAGTAAAATACGAATTGCGGAAAACTATACTTGACTTTAGTAAACATATAAATATGGATACGTATGTAAATGGCGTTGTTTCCCTAATGGAAATGAATAAGAAACAATAAATATTTTAAGATGTATAAAGTTTGATTTGGCTCCATCTTTTCGGCGTGTTTTATGGGATTTTGGCAGCCCTGTTGTAGATTGATTGAGGCGGGCGCATTGGCACGTGGCACCGGGGGGCCATGCGCCCCACAGGGTAGGGGTGTGACCCAGTTTCTGGTGTCGTTGACCGTCGACGGCCTTCGAGTGTGCACTCGACAAAAAAGCCAACCCGGCAATCTCTCGCCGGGCGCATATCGTGTTACGCAATCAGGTTTATTGTTGTCTAGTGCGCACAAGCGTATGTAGTACTTTTTTATTATTACGTTGCGTGAATAACGTAAACGTATTGACATCGCATATTGACATCGGACGGACAGACAAACGTATTTGTTAGTATCGACTACACTAACGGGGCTTCATAAAAATGGCCAATTGAGATGGAAACGAGACTGCCGCATTGATTAATCTCACGGTACATGCGTCGGCGGAGTACTAGGCAATCAGCGCGGCGCACTATCTAGCGTGCCCACCTAGGGCTCGGTGCCCGGTCGTGTTGCGTCACGCGGCTAGAAAGATCGGTCCCCACCAGCGATGTGGCAAAGGACGCCGAGCGAAATAGAGATCGTCCTCGAAGCGAGAGCGGTGCACGCGCTGCAGTCATTGTGCGGTGGCGGTTCGCACGCACGGCCGTGTGGTGACCCAATAGCGGCTGGAGGGAGGGACCGGGAAGCGTTGCGGGGAGCGCTCGTGCGGTAGGTCGCGTTCACTGCGCTCACGCCGCCAGCCGCGCCGCAGTGCGCCGGGAAACTTTCTTCGGCTTTTCCACGCCGCGAACGCCGCTCCGAACGATCGCGGCCGGCGTTTCGCGTCCTAGGCTGTGCACTATGTACCCGGCGAGGGGCACCCGTGGACAGTTCGCCGTGTGAACGACCGTGCTTGGACCCGACTGTACAGATAGAGCGCCGGGAATGTAATCCCCCGCCCGACGGAGGGTAACGACGCATATGGATTTAGTATTAAAAAGTCGGTAAAGTTGCGGATTTTACATTTTTTTTTATTTTAATAACGGCTCCAGTGGTTATTTCATAGTGATATTTGTGATTGTTTTGTTTTTTCGAAATATTCCCCTTTCGGCCGGAGCGAATTAATTATTTGATTGTTGGAAAATCTATTATTATGTAAAGAAGAAACGTGCTAGATTCGCGTGACGTGGAGCCCTTTGTGGTGGTTGCGCGCGAGCGCATGCTTCCGGGCGCCGCATCTGCGCGCGCGCTGCTTTCACTTTCTCCTCGCGCGGCTCGCGGCATCTCGCGCCCGACCGCCGCGACCTGCGGCCACGCTTCCTGCATCTCCCATATACAAATGTTTCCTCATTCCGGGTTGTTACGTGAAATATAACCCGATACCTCTAGGCGTTGCATTACGATTCTCTCTAAGTTATATCGGGCGCGTTGTTCATTTTAGAGATGATACGTGGGGAACTCGAGAGCCGATGGATGTTAAATTTCGCGTACGGCCGCACATAATAGATTAGTTTCGAGCGCATTCGGGGCCGCGGCGGCGCTCGCGTCGTGACGCAACCAGCTAATCTAGTCGGCGGCGGCGGGAAGTGCAGTGTCGCGTCCCCGCGCCGCGCCCCGCGCGCACCAACCGCGGCCGCGCCGCGCGGTCGTTGACACTTCACCTAGTTTCTATTCTCCGCCTGCCAAAGTCGACGGTGCCCTCTTTCGCCGCCATCGCTGATCGCGCCCCGTGCCCGCAGGCGAGTCGGCGGCCGACACCAGCACCTCGTCGCCGGACCCGGGGCCGCCGTCGCCGCGCATGGCGGACGCGGGCTGCAGCACGCCGCCGCATCCGCCGCCCGTGTTCGACGGTGGGGGCTCGCCGTCGCCCTCGCCCGCCTGCCATCCGACCGTCATCCGCTCAGCGCCGCCCTACTCCGTCATCAAGTTCGAGGGTGCCTCCGTCAAGGCGGAGAGCTCGCCCGCCAGCAAGCCGGACGCGCCTTCGCCGTCCCAGCTGTCCTCCGTGAAGTTGGAAGGCGCGCCACCGGAGCCGCCGCAGCCGTACCGGCCGCGGGCGCTGGCGCCGCCACCGACCAGCACCCACCCGTCACTCTCCCCGGGCTACTGGCCGCCAGCCGCCTGCATCAACGGCGTCAAGCCGGAACTGATAGGCGGACACTTCCCACCGCAACCCCTAGAGCCCAAGGTCGGAGTGAGGGGGCCCGCCCAGTGGCGTGGCTCGCCGGCCGTCATCATGGGTGAGTCTGGCGGCGTCCGCACGATGTTCTGGACGCTGCCGGCGCCGGCGTCCAGCAACGAACCGTCTGCGAGCGCGTCGCATACGCCGACACCGCCCACACCCGATCCCGCCACGTGCACCGAGGAGTCAGCAGCGCGCTTACTACTTAACCTCGGCGGTGACTTGAGGAGGCCACGTGGACCACCGTTGAACATGGAGCTGCTGTGGGCCGGGGACGTGTCACAGCTGCCGGCGAACCAGCAGACGCACGCGCTGAATCTGAGCCCGGCAGCTGGCAGTGTGTCGGGGACGTCGGCGGCCGCAAGCGCCAGCTCTCTTTCGATCCCACGGCCCGAACTACGCGCGTATGCTTCCGAGACCGAACGCGACGAGGACGAGCAGCCGATGATTTGCATGATATGCGAGGACAAGGCGACGGGGCTCCATTATGGCATTATCACGTGCGAAGGGTGTAAGGGATTCTTCAAGCGAACTGTGCAAAATCGACGGGTATATACTTGCGTGGCGGACGGCGGCTGTGAAATTACAAAGGCGCAGAGGAATAGATGCCAATACTGTCGATTTAAAAAATGCATCGAACAAGGAATGGTTTTACAAGGTCAGTAGGCATTCCTACAGTCCATCTAAATATAATACGGTAAACATGTATCTAATCATTCTCTTTCACCAGCCGTACGAGAGGACCGCATGCCGGGTGGCCGTAACAGCGGCGCAGTCTACAACATGTACAAGGTTAAATATAAGAAGCACAAAAAGGGCAACACTAAAGCGGCAACGACGACGAGTCGAGCGTCGCCGCCGGAGAAGCCTAAGGAGCCCATACCTCCGCTCCCACCGCACCTCGTCAACGGGACCATCCTAAAGACTGCACTGACCAATCCCAGCGAGGTAAGACGCTCCAAAAGGAATAGACTGGCACACCAGTTTCGGAACAACCTCAACGATTCACCTACAACCCTCTTTCTTTAGGTTGTCCACTTGCGGGCGAGGCTGGAGAGTGCCGTGTCGTCATCACGCGACCGAGCAGTGCCCCTAGAGAGGGCGCTGCACATGATCCGGGCGTTGATAGACTGCGACGCTATGGAGGACATCGCCACCGTGCGCCACCTACCGGACCTACTCCACGACACGTCCGAGATCGGCGACAAGCTCTGCAGGATCGGCGACTCGATCGTCCACAAGATGGTCGCGTGGACCAAGAAGCTGCCGTTCATAATGGAGATCCCGATGGAGATCCACTCCAAGCTGCTAATGGAGAAGTGGCACGAGATCTCGGTGCTAACGACCGCCGCCTACCAAGCGATGCACGGCAAGCTCGCCCATGCACCACCTTCGGCGGACCACGAGCACGACTTCATGCAGGAAGTAAGCATTTTAGCTTATTACATAATCATATCCAATACGGGAAAATAAAAAAATATTGAAAACTTCACTTGCCGTTATTTTGAATTTTATGCGTGATATTGTAAGATTAAGTAAAGTAGGAAAACTATAGCAAGTCACTTGTAACACACCGTAATCTTATGGTAAACCGTAATTTTTAAATTTTTTAGTCTGAAGTACGACGTAATTAGTTTACCGAACCGAGTGACACGGTCACAGTTCGTAACTTTGCTGCCAATGAGCTATAATAACGCAGTTCAAACGCGACAGAAATGTACCAGGATTCAATAGCTTTAAGAGGTGCTGTTTGGAATGCGACATTAGCCGCTCGCATTCGCTCCAGAGACGCCGGACACATGCGCCGGAGTGCAGTTACGTGATCTGCATCGGCGCTTGCGTAATCATAGAAAGTCGCCGCTTGAGAACTAGCTGCACTCCGACGATCGCACGCTCGATACAAAACTCGTTCTAATAGAATCTAATATAATGCAACGCTTTCGATATTCCAATTGTCTGTGGGCAAAATTTATCCGGCACCAACTACCTCACAGCCGCACTATTCAGAAACGTCAATTAACGATTAACTAAAATTTATTAAATTATAATCGATTAAATAAGACTTTAACTTTGAACTCAGCAGATGAAGAAAATTAATGCTAGTTAATTGACATCTCTGATTTTGACAATGAGAGTAGGTACTATGGTAAAACAAATTCTTTCCGAGTACTTATTACTGTGTGTGACCGCTGAATATTCCTATATTAAAACACAATCATAATTTCACGAGTCAGTACGAAACCCGGGTGATATTAGAATACTGAATGTGAATATTATAGATTATTGGATGTAAATAGGTTGCTTAACGTGAACTCGAAAGCAAATGGCCGTTGCACGTGTTACGTAAATTTAACTCTAGCCGTAACAGCGTTACACAGACGATTTTCATTGTCTAGTGCATTTCCTTCTTATGTGAACACGTGATTGCGTAAAAACCCGTTGCATATTCGATTTTCAATTAGAATTGTTTCGCACGAGTCGCCGATTTAACATTTTTGTATCCTTTTCAACACGCTCTAATAGGGTTTTAGTTTGTTAATAAACAACATATAAAGAAAAAAAAATTTAGTTCTTTTATTGAAACACAAATTAATCATTACTATTCACTAATTTCTTTTCACTCAAAATATTTTAATTCGAATAACATCATGCGAGTCTCAGATAAATAACACCGTTAATATATTTGTTGCTATGTGTTTGCGTACAAGGAATTGATTGCCTATTTGTAGATTTTTAATATTATGTTATTAGTTTTATAATAAAAAAACTACGTCATTTCATTTAAGCACACTAAAAGAGTTCCCTAAATTTTGTTTTGGTGAATCTCAACTCTCAAATATTTAATAGTTTGAACGCTGCCTATAAAAAATACAAAAATTAAAAATATGAACATACGCACCGTTTAATTACACGCATGACATCATTTTCGAAAGGTGAACGCGAATCTAAGAACGCTGCAGAACTGCTTAACCTCGCTGATGGGGCGGCCCATCACGCTTGAGCAGCTACGGCTAGATGTGGGTCTGGTGGTGGAGAAGATGACGCAGATAACCTGCGTCTTCCGTCGCATCCAGCTCCGCATGGAGGAGTACGTGTGCCTGAAAGTCTACATTCTTTTAAACCAAGGTATGTATCCCAACACCAGTCTACCACTGCGACTGTGAATGTGGCGCGAAATGCTTAGTTAAGTATCCCGACTTTTGAATATCGAATCGTGCAATTAATATTGCAACATTGATTGACTTTTTTTTTATATTTACAATGTTGCTGCTATTTGATAAAATTGAAATAAGATATATTTGCTTTTTCTGGGCCTTAATTATCATTGATGAGTTGGGGAATAATAGTCATTTATTATATAAAAATCTTATAATCTGTATTTTGAAATGTTAATGAACTAATTATTTATGCCTTAAACAGAGTACTCATAAAGTTTCTTATAAAATAAATTGCATCGAATACATTTTAATTAAACATAAAAACGCATTTCCATTAAATTATCATAAGGCGCGACGTAATTAAATTCGGCTAATTGCATTAATTTCATTTCTTTCCGCAAAATTGCTTTTAACCCAAATATTTTTGGGTCGTTATTAAAAATGAATGGAATTTTCTGCGCACAAGTTTTATGACGTCAACTTTAACTTCAAACGGAGAGTCCGATTTCAAATAGCGCTTCTTGATAAATCGTAACCTTTCACCGCCTCAAGTGTAATTAAGGACACTGTTAATAAGGCTATGTAAATAAAGTGTGCAAAATATTTTCCTAATTTTTAATAAACTAGTAACGTAATAAGTATTATAGTGATGTTGATCTCTTGTAACTTTGTTTTTATTTAATTAAATATATAATTATATAGAATTATAAAATATTCCCCATTAGCTTTAATGAATTTAAAACTAAAATGGAGTATCGACTACGTAAGATTTTAATAGTTTCCTCTCAGCACAATAACCAAACAAATGTTAGTTCTCGTGCAAAAAGTTTGCTCTTCGTCAAGTCGCGCGTTCCAATTTTGAAAAGTCGAATGGCAAACGAAGCTCTAGGCGGCCGGCAGTTAATGCCCGCGGCTGCTTCGGGGCACGCGTCGCTATCGCCGGTCGACGCGATAACGCGCCGATCGGCTAACTGCACCGCTACGGCAGCCCGTAATCCACTTATAGAGCGGTACAGTGCGACGGGGGTGCATCGCCCCACGATTCATGTAGGTCAGTTACGACGACGCGCTAGGCGTCCTGCGCGGTGACGTGCCCACTGAGTCACTACGGCTCGGCTTACACGGAGTAGGATTTTCCGTGAGCGTCGCAAATATCAATGTCGCCGCGAACGGGCGGTTTGTTTGCGAAGCGCGCAACGGACTACGCGCCGTTTTATTTCATTAAATATGCGGATTAACACTAAAATACACATGAGTCGCCCGCGGCTGCGAACGTTGCGCTGGAATGAAAGCACTCTCACGCTATCCGAGACTGACATGTAAAAACATAACTAACTATTCAAATACGACACTAGACACGGTATTTATGAACAGCGTTGATACGAAAGTCTACGCGGACGTATTTGGCGCGACAATAACTTGATGCATCGAGACAGCTATACAAGACGGTGCAAAGTGTACTCGTTAATATTATTATGATTTATGGTACATGTAACCCAGTTGCGAGGCGAGAGTCCGGCCCGCTTGCGAAATCGATTAGACACGGGCATCGGGACATTTTGTGTAAAATTTCACTTACAAGATGTTCGGTCGAGCGAATGACAGTTAGGTTTAAAGCATATAAATGATTTATTATATAATTTATTTTCTGTTTATCAATGTCATTCACACATGTAAAATTCAGATGCAATGAACGTAACTGAAATATTAGTGACATATAAAGCTAAGGATCTAAATATTTAAACACTATTTTCCGATAATCTAAACGTATAATTTACTCTATTGGATGATGTTTTTGCTAGTTATAGAAAACAATAAACGTACTTGAAACGAGTTGAATGGTAGAGAATGTTAGCCCTAATAAATTATTTAAAAAATATTAAAAGTAAAGTTTAAATAAATAAATAATTATATGGTAACACCTGGATAAGACAGTCCGGGGTTTAGGTCGTCGTCCTGAGACCCGAATCCTGCAGTAGCGCGCGGTTTGTTTCACATATCAAATGACGTATTATCGAAGCGCTTATTTAAAGCTCGCTCTAGTGCTAGCAACACTACAGCGGGGAAACTGTGACATCCTGCCTTATCGCGGCGTAAGTAGGCCGCGCGGACGCCGTCGCGCGTTTGAAAATAATTTTCACCGTACGCCGTTGTTCAGCCGCGGGCTTCGGAATATTTACGGCGTGCTCATTAATACGGCAATGAGACGCAGATCGGGCAACATTGTAGCGAAAGGAGGTAGTTGAAAGGAGGCAACGCTCTTTTATATATACAAAACCGTATAACAGATGGATCGGTATCTGAGCTCGTGATTTTATAGAATGCCTCATCTAGATTCTGTGTCTGATAACGTTGTGAGTCTGATGACCTTTGATTTCGATCGATAGGGTAACGCATTACACATCTTTTATATTAGAAATAAAAATAAATTGTTATAAAATAAAAGACGTTGGCTCACAATTTTATCGCTATCAAGTACCCAAGTTGCCGGCAATCAATCCGTTACCTTCACTTCTTTGTGAGTTCTGTCTGTGTATAGGCGATATAGCTTAAGGATCGCATGATCCAAATGATCTACATGATCATTGTTATTATTCATCAAGCATTAAATCAAAACTGATTCGGTTTCAAGTGGAAGAGCGTTCAGGTGTGTGTAGAAATAAGTGAAAGGAATCTCATAAGGGGAAGTCTCAATGCAGAGAGATCACTTATGAGCACATGACACACGAATTCGCAAACATATTTTTTTTTAAAAACATTGCCCTTACTTTAGGATAACATTATCCTGTGTTGTAGGGACGTTTTACAAACATAAATTTCACGCGGACAAACACCTAGATGCGAAACAACTACCTGTGGGTCACACAAATAGTTGTCCCGTGTGGGAATCGAACCCACGACCCCCGACGCCGAAGCCAATACCTTGGCAACTGTGCCACGGAGTCATCAGTCATATTATTCGAATATAAGTAACTATACACACTAAGTAACATGGCGTTTAATGCTGATAGCGTCGGTCGATTGCTTGATATGAATTCATTTAAATTTCGAATAGTTCAGCAGTTAACCTACATTCGAATAGATTGAAGGATCTCGACGAGGACGGACGAATTGACCGTTATGGAGACGCGATGATTCTAGCCTGATATCTCTTTATTGCCTTATGTGCATTGCAATGACAATCATCTTACAAGAAGTGCAGCATTAGCATTATAACGGCAAATAACATTTTTAACGAAGTATCTAACGAGCATCGATTGATGTTCACGATAATGATCCCAATGCAGTTAGATTTAAGGGCGATTTTCGTAAAGCTCTTGTTTGCCTTAAAAGCGAGCGTCGGTACAAACAAGGCAAGTGCGCCGTGGTGAAATGGAAAGCGTTTGCGCAACCGTTCCGCGTATGCGTGGGCGGTCTCCGTGTACTGTTATAAAAAACACGGTGTTCTTGGCTGTGTGAGTGTCTTGCTGTATGTATGTACGTGTTTGTATGTTCGAGTGCGTACATTCGTTACTCAATAAATCTAAATACATTGAAAACAATCCATTTACGATAAGCTGTACGAGATGAAGTACATAAGTAAATAAGTATCTAAATTTTTAACTTTAGCGAGAGAGCTTTTAATACGCTGCTATAAATAATAAAGTAAATTTATTCATTATACTCAAAATTTTGGAAGTATATATTCTAAATTATATTTAATCCAAATTTGCTTCACAAAGACATTGAAATCGGTACCGCGTATCACTTGAACGAGAATCGCCCGCGCAAATTTATCACCGCAACCAAATAGAAGTGTCGCGCTACACAATGCGTTTATGGCCGAGTTACGTCACTTGTAACGGGACAGCATTTCACTCTCGCAGCGAAAAGCGCGACGCGGAAGCGAACTTTCTCTTTTGCAACGCGCCGAGCGGAGCGGCGGCGAAAAAACGCCTGGCAGCCGCCCGCAAACCGCCCGCTCACCGCCCGCTTGCATAACTTTCCGCGCCACGTGTACTCTGTATATTTTTTTCCACGTTATAGGCTGTACCCCGCTTTACATAATTTGTTTACGTTTTTAACGTGATGCAAATAAATAATTAATTTAATTGACCCTATAGAAAGGCGGTTGGGCAAAGTTGCGAAAAGTTTGTATCCTCTTTTCGTATTAAATGATTTGTTTATGATACATGGAAACATATACAATATGTGTGTGTGTGATAGCAAAATTAATGGTTTTTATTAACACTTTATGGCATAACTCGTAAACTAAATTATTTTGCAATATGATACTCTTGCATCACATAGGTAATAGATGCATATATTAAGATCACTTCATAAAAATAATATAGAATACATTTTTGAATTAAACAGACTGTTCATTATAATATTTTATCATTCATCAACATATAACTGCGAACAAAAAGATCAATTAGATTTAGCTGCACTCGACGCGTAAAACATTCGCGCGTACAATACGTTGGAAAAGCGTGTGGGAGCGAGAGGGCGATAGCGAGTGAGGACGCGAGCGAGCTCAAGCGGAGGTCAACGGCTAGCCGCGGTCGTTGCCCCGCTATCGGAGTGACCTACTGAGCGCGTGACGTCACCACCGCACCGCGCACTCTGTGGCATTGGTTACAAGTCGCCGCGCAACGCCATCTAGAGGCGAATAGGGCGACGATTGAGTAGCATAGCGCTTTGCAACGGAATACGAACAGACGAAACGTTTCTGCGTGACGTAAAAATTATTATTCTATTCATCCTCTACGATTAGACAAACATCGGGCCGGTCTGGAATTACGTTGGCTTCCGGACATTTTTCCTTGAACGTTCATTGCGTACAAATAACAGTGATACCATAAATATTAATCAGCTAAATTATCAATCAATAATAAGCACGTATTTAAAAAAGTATTTGTGCCACAGTGTCAGGATATAAAATATTTCGATAAAATATGTTCAATAATACTTAATTGAACAATCGTTGGAAATATTCTTTGCTGGGTTTTTATTTTATTACAATAATGCTAAATGGATTTTTTTTTTTCAGAAGTAGAACTGGAGGGAATTCAAGATCGATACGTCCAAGTTCTTCGCAGCTACTTAGAGCACGCGGCACCCCATCACCCGGGGAGGCTACAAGAACTATTTGCCCGGATACCAGAGGTAAATATAAATTAAAAAAAAATAATGGAATTGAAACAAATAATTGCTTTGTTCGAGTAATAATTGCATAAATCATTGGAGCGCGCGGATTAAAAGTGAACGATTCCGAAACGCGACAAAGAGCGGATCGTTTTTAATACAAACAACTTTCTAACGAATGCAACGGATCCGACGTCGGCTGGAATAAAGTGCAACTATCGCGTCGGACGCAATCCGCTCTGATATAACTCGCGGCGCGGTAGAAAGTTCCATCGGCGGCGGATCGAACTTTCTACCGTGATCGCTCGGCCGCGGCGCTCACCCGTGCTTCCCCGCACTTTCAGATCCAGGCGGCGGCGAACCTTCTGCTGGAGAGCAAGATGTTCTACGTGCCGTTCGTCCTGAACTCGGCCGAGATCAGATAGTATATGGCCCAGCAGGGCGTCTAGTTCTCGATGTACGAGTCTGGCGCCCCGCGACCGCGCCGCCCCGCCGCCTTATGATCGCCTCCGCCGCGCGGCACTAGCTGCGGGCGTGCCCCAGGGCGTCAGGCGCGCGTGCACGCGCCCGATCTCTTCCCTCCCCCGAACTGAGGCTGTGGACGCTGACGTGCGGCGCAGTGTTGTCAGTTGAGAGACCGATTCGCAAACAGTGATTTACACAGTGCGAGGACAGTGGGGTACGCTATACCTTTGTTGAGCCGACGTGTGCATTGGTTTATTGTTTATTAGAGGAATTAAAACGTCCCAAACGACAGACTGATTTATGATTAAAACTAGTTATTATTTTATAGATGATCAGGGACTTGAATACGTGTTTTATACGTGGTAGTGTATACTACTTAGTGTTAAATAGATTAAAATATATAATTATGTTACTATTTAACTTTTTTTTATCAATCGGAGAATCGCATAATATATTATTTCTGTAAATATAGATTACTAGTTAGTTATAGTATTTAGGAAGTTGTCTTTAGACAGAATTGTTTCTTGTAAATGAAATATTGCTGTTTTAGTTTGCATTTTATATCGTCTAGTGTTAAACCAGTAGGACAATTGCTGGTTGTGTAATGATAAAAAAATCGTGTAATTTAATTTTATATGACTTTGTTCTTAAAATAAGTAGCACTAAGTACCTACTCTCAGTGTTTACCAAGACTGCTTGTATACAACTCTACTGTTTATACACTTACGTAAAAATCAGCGCGCTGCGACGCGTTTCTTTATAGTCACAACTTTTGCATTTTTATTGCCAATATTTCTCGTAACACTTGCGTGTGCTGTGCTCTGAACAATCCACTTCCGTTTTTTCTGGTCTAACTAGATGTAAGTAACTTTTCGAGGGCATATTTGCGGGCGCGGCGCGGTGGACGCCGCGAATGGCGACCGCCGCGCCGCGCGTCTGGTCATCATTCTGTAACTCCATACATTCATCGATCTTGTGGGTGTTTTCCTTTGATGTGTTCAATATTCACGTATGCTCAAATCCCTAGAACTGTATAGACCGGATCGGAAACAGCTTTCGTCATGGCATCGCCATCATCATCTACATCGTCGTTCATGTTCACCGATACACACTACTTAACACACAGTCGACACAGCTTTGCACTTCTCGACTAACACAACATCCTTAATCGGAACCTCTTCACTCCCACCGTTAACAGGCGACCCATTTTTGATCCTTAATTTGATCAGAAACTGGAAAAAAGTATGAATTTGTCTTTAGCTCTAGATCGGTTATCGTAAATAGGGTAATTCATATAACATGTTTTACATTTGATCGTACGTATGGACTGCGTTATCGTATTGGACCATTTAATAACGCAACTAGCGCTCCAACAGTGAACCATCTCGGAGATCATTAGGTAAATTTGGCGACAATAAACATGTACCTAAGTTAAATGTAATTTTTACACTCGATACATAGACTTCATCGATATATTAAATAACAAATGCACTCGCTAGCTCTTTGCTGTGATGCGAGACAACTTAGCTGATAGAAGACAGCCAAAAAAAATTGTAGAGTAACGCTTTGTATTTCATTAATTAAATACAGCTTCACTTCATTAACTTTCCTTCAATATTTCACTCCGTTCTTTTTCTAGAATGTTGCATTGGCACCATCCAAAAATTAAAAAGCTTACAGTTCATACCCTATATTTTATTCGACATCTTTCGCATTAATTATTCACATCCTTTTGCATTAATTTATTTCGCATATTTCAAGCTACTACTATTATGTACAGAAAAGGAGAAATGTTAAAAAAATGGTTTTATTTTTTCGTCCTTTGAGAGCTTTGAATTTCACTTATTATTGTTTCATACAATTTATTGAAACTAATTTCTTTGTTCAAAAACAAAACATTATTAACATTAACATTATAACATTACAAAACCTTGTTTTTCATCGGAATCTACCATTTCACTGTCCATAAACGTGTTTTTTACATTTAGCCGTAATTTTTATAAAGTACTGAGATAAGCCGTCGTCCTTTCGACTAATAATCTTAAAATAGCCTTATTTTCCGAGACACTGTCAGAAACCACTGCCGATATTTTTAATGTTATTTGCCGTTATTGTTAATAACGATCGTATTAACTCGTTAATATAATGAAATTGTAAAAAACGTTCCAGCAACGGTGAACAGTTACCATTAGTTGTAGTGATGGCGAAATGCGCCGTGTATAAATTAAGTGAAAACAACCAAAAAGTTCGCTCTAGGGACTTAGGTTCTAGGTCAATTCACCTTCGCGTTCTAATGTTCGGTACCGTATTGAAATATGAATATAGATACTCAAATTTATTTCCTGTCATGATGATAACTCGGCTTGTACCTCTCGAGTGCGTATAGTTTGTCTTATCTATTACTTGATTACCGTTCACTGGCCACCTGCAAGTTTTTTGTCATAAAAGTAATCAAACCCGATTTGTTGATATGCAATTTGCAAAATTTCTCTTATACCGAATTACGATTCAAGGTGAATAGTTTTAACCAGCCACGTCTGTAACAAGTAGATTAAGGTTCAGTTTTAGTTTTTATTTAAATAATACCGCTGGCAAGTTTAAACGCAAACGTCTGTTTATGATTGTGCCTCACTTCCTTAGTCGGGTAAACAGAGTAACTTGCATAAACTAGGTGGACAATCGACATTGCAAATGTTATGTAATTAGAGAATCCTGTTACCTGAACGAGCGACACGCGTCCGTTCCTCAACGTGTTACCATTAGTTAAGTATTAGCGTATATGTGTTTTGTACATTGTTATTGTTAGGTTTCGAATACAACCAGACACGATACTGCCATCAAATGCCTAAATAGATTTCGATTTATTCGTTTGTACAATTATTTCATAACGTTTTTTCTTTTGTTTTTATCACGCTACTCTTAAGTTGACAGTTCGCGAAATTATTAGTTAATTGTGATATCGGAACAGTGATATATATTGGAATACGTGATGCGCGATATGACCCAGGCTAAGCGCGAACTTGTATCTTACAAGAGAGCCCGCCCGCAAACTGGGTAACTGCATATATTTATTTATTCATTTTAAACTAACTTAAATTATAATTAATAAGTAATTAATAACACCATCAGAACGACGGTGGTAAATCTAAAGTCTGAGGTAAAGATGCCTTCATAGATTTTTAAACATTGTAATGACGGATCGTAAAATAACTATAGTCGCAAATCGTGCATCGTTCTACTAAATATGTTAATGGTAATATATGTAAGTAATATTGACACTTATTTTGTTAGTAACATAGCTTAAAGTTAAGACGAAACTAACGGCAGTCTATCAAAGGGGAATTTAGATTTGTAAGAATGTTATTGGCGTTGTACAAAGGATAGTATTGTTAATAAATAAACAATGAAATTGGCGCATTACTGTCGAGTACCTAATTAGATTAGTACACTGGCCCGTTGAGGCTAAACATTTATCAATGTAAATGTAAATACAAAATTATCTACGACGTACGACATGGCCATCCAATTAATTGCACTCCAAGTCATGATTGGCTTCGGAATCCTTTCGGCACTGTATTGCTACTTGCTCTGCAATCAAAAAAAATATATAACGTTCAACCAAATCGATTTTCACATTTGACAAAAGTATGCAATCAATTTAATCTGTTTTGAAAGTCTGTCTCAATCCAATATGACAAAAGCGACAGCCCTATTTGCAAGGCCGAAACTGACTTCGAATTTATTCACATTATGCATAGTGTAAAAATAACAGATGTATCATCAAATAGTCTTAAATATAGCAATCTTTGTGTAAACAATACATACTAATAATATTTGTTGGAAAAATTAACACTGAAATCAAACAAAATTTCTCATTGCGATGTCGGCTAAGTGTAAGATCTAAATAATATGGCGAAAATATTTTGACTGATATAAATAAATAGTAATATAAACATAATGACGTTAATATATTTATAAGAGTAACAAGAAAACTTAATGCATTTCTCACTTTCTTTACAGTCCATAAGAATAATTAACTACATCTAAGATATTGTGACGAAATATTTTCACATTCAAATATAATGTAAGGTTTGTTGTGTATCATAATATTATCGTTTCTTGTACTTTTTGGGTAAAAGGATGTTTGAAAATTGTGTACAATAGACAATGTATTAAAATAGTTACGTACGAGTGTAAAGCTGTAAGAGAATATATATTTGGAAACGTTGAGTGTTTGTTGTATGCTAACTACATGTCACAGATGGGTATTTGAACTCTAAGTACATTATATATAATATTATAAGTATCTGTTCTACAAGTTATACTACATAATTTATTCAAATAAAAATAATCGTGTTTTCTGTTACGGTCACACAAACAAACACGTTTCGCTTTGTAACGTACATTTCTTGTCTTGTCAAAGTCCATTCTATTGAGTAGGCCTTTTATAATTAATGTAATAACTGGTAAGGAAGACACTCACTTTTATAAATTCGCAGTCTCACATTAAGTGCCTCTGGGAAACGCACGTATGTCTACCTACTAGCTGTCATTTGTTAAATATCATATAAGAGTTCAATGTGGTTGAGTGTGCTGTATTTGTATCACGTGTTTGTATACTTGGGCTCGCTCAATTCCAAGACTTGTCGCTTTCAGACCTAGCTAGTATGTTTAAGTATTACAATACCATAGGGTTCTATGTTTACATGTAGCAGGACACATTAGTTGCTGATCGACGTAAAGTTCTCGATGGTTCAAAGGCTGTTGTTATAATTCGACCAATTTAAGAATCGAAATGATTGTGTGAAGTATTCCGGGAATGTCGCGTGTGTCGTACAAGTGGTGTGCCGGCTGTTAGTCAAACGATTGTATACTGGTTTGCCAAGAGGAGTTACCTACAGTTGTGTTTAGTTAGCGACGCATAACGTGTTTGTACTTTAATTTGTTTTTTAGTTGTACTCTTGGAAATCAATGGTTAATAACTTAAGAAAATAAAATGTATGTGAAATATCTGTTTTGTTTTATTTCCCTGGACATTTCGTCGAACAAAAGCTTAAACACTGCAAACCTTTTAATAGATATATTCGATAACGTTTTTACGTTCATCGCGGAAGTACCACAACCTCACAGAAGACCGGCGTGAAGTGGAAGTGTTATTCTTCTGCGTTTCGTCTGGTGAATGAGGTCACCCAGACCCGCCTTATCAAAAGGTGGCATCTGCAACCCTACCCTACGGGTTTGAAAAAGGGCGGCGGTTATCAATTAACATATAAACGTAAAAAAAAATTTTGACGTAAAAAAAAATTTTTTTTTTTTTGCTGTTTCCATTAAACATTATATTTAATTGATGTTTACTATATTTTTAATAGCTTGCAGTGAAAAATATTGTAATCAACTAAACTAACGTTGGCAGCCGTAATCAATAATCACAACAATACTTGTTATTACTGATAAGATGCATCACAATAACACAATGTTTTTATAGAATAGAATGCTTTGTTGCAAGAAAGCTTAAAAGTTCTTAAAAACATTTTAACTATGTTGGTACGAATAAAACTTAACCCCAAAACGTTTATATAGACAAATGTAACTGTAGCGTTAATATTGCCATAATTTTAATGGTTATTATGTTGAATCTTTAATGTGTAAAAGTGAACAGTTTGTACAGTTGAATCGATTTATTAAGATAATTGACTTGCGCGCCATCTGTTATCAACAAGGTTCACATTGCACATCACATTCATCGAAACACCAAAGGTAGACCGTTGTAATATAGTTATCGTTCATTAGTATGTGATGTGTTCTATATTCTATTGAACTCCATAAATATAATGACTACTGTATAATTCACTAGAAAACTGCAATCTGTTTTTTAATTATTAAAAAAAATATAGTGCACCACTATATGATCTAGACTCTAAACCTACTTCATTTATAGCCTGTATCGACTATGACTCGCTCCTTCTGTCAAATTACCGCAACCGCCACATGTCATAGTGTAAGATTTAGTTGGTGATTTTTCTTTATTTTAATAAAATATAAAACCCTGAAAATGGTAAGGCTACACTACTTTTTGTCTCTATTATAAATTGTCTTTATTTATACTTTCGTAACCCCTACAACATTTTAAATTGTGTCATTATACTTCTGTTTTTATCATAACTACATTTTCAGAAACCTTTAATGCTACAAGGGCATGAACGTGCTATCACGCAGATAAAGTATAACCGCGAAGGTGATTTGCTATTTTCTGCTGCAAAAGATTCTAAGCCCAACGTTTGGTGGTCTTTGAACGGTGAACGTTTGGGTACTTTCAATGGCCACGGTGGTGTAGTTTGGTGCCTCGATGTAGACTGGCAAACTATTAATCTTATTACTGGTGGTGGTGACAGTTCCTGCAGGTATGATAGTAATGGTATTTATTTATTTATGCCAAATGTCTATTGTTAATTGAGCATATACAAAATATTAAATGATAAATGTGCAACTACAATTACGACTTGTAAAATGCAATAATTTTTTAGAACTCTGTTTTTTTAGTGTAAAGGTTTATCTCATAATGTTATCAAAAATATGTAGACTCCAAATATGTAGAAGAAATTGAAATTTTAAACTAACACAACTATTAAAATTATTTATTGTACATGTTTCATATTTAAATAACCTTAATGCTTAAAGACTTTAATATTTTTCATTTAATTTCAGGCTATGGGATTTAGAGACTGGTAAAAATATAGCAACAATAAAAACAAATTCTTCTGTAAGAACTTGTAACTTCAGTTTTAGTGCATACCAAGCTGCTTACACAACTGACAAAGCTATGGGTCATCCCTGTGAGGTATTTATAGTCCCTTCTTATATTATTTTTTGCTTTAAATGAGAAGTATGGTAGTTTTATGGTTCCATATAAAAATGAACCCTTATCACTCTCTTGTCCATCTACCTGTCCGTGTGTCACTACCAATTGAGGTCAATGGGAACTACCATATAGGTTTACGAAAACAAAATCACAACATTTTGGCAAAAAGCACGAATAAAGGAATAATTCCAAACTATAAAAAAGTTAAAAATTAAGGTATTGTATTGCTGAAGACCTTGATAGACCTCGGTACCTGGTAAAAAGTTCAACTTGCTAGGTCCATCCGTTCCTGAGAAAATTGGTGGTGATTACTTACCTAATTTTTTATGGCAGTATAGTGGCTAGGTATGAGACTTGGTGTACTAGTGCACTAGTTCGACTCTCACTTGACCGCTTTTTTTTATTTGAGTTTTATACTCAATAAAATCCAATATCTCTCAATATCCATCACTTAATATGAAAACATAATAATTATAACATTTAATTATGTTGTTGAACATTCTTAATTTTTTTATTTTTGTTTATTAGGTCTTCGTAATTGATACAAGAACTGTTGATGATTCTATCTCCAGTCAGTCACCAATATTGAAATGGGAAATAACAGATTCAAAAGTTACATCTATGTTATGGGGCACTTTAGATGAGACCCTTATTACTGGTCACGAAGCAGGGGACTTGATCCAATGGGACCTCAGGGTATGTATAAATATTATTTAAATGTTGTCACTTTAAATGTAACAACTGAAAAATATCTCATGAGTAAATTTTAAAACATGTAAGAAATTTTGCTCCTAGACCATTGAGAGGCTTTGACTGCAATGCTGTTACCTTAAAGATTTGCATGTTTGTTTATTGTTACAGACTGGCAAGAAAGTACATTCAATAAAGGAGCATACTCATCAAATCAATGACATGCAACTCTCTCGTGATGGCACTATGTTTATTACCGCCTCTAAGGATCAGACTGCTAAGCTGTTTGACACCAGCTCCCTAGAACTGTTAAAAGAATACAAAACTGAGCGTCCAGTTAATTCAGCTGCACTAAGCCCCATACTTGATCATGTAGTGCTAGGAGGTGGTCAAGATGCTATGGAAGTAACAACAACATCAACAAGGCAGGGTAAATTTGATGCTCGATTCTTCCATTTGGTGTTTGAAGAAGAATTTGGTCGTGTAAAAGGTCACTTTGGCCCCATTAACAGTTTGGCTTTCCACCCTGATGGGAAAAGTTATGCATCTGGTGGTGAGGATGGTTACGTTCGTGTCCAGAGTTTTGACCAATCTTACTTTGATTATACATTTGATTACAACAGAGAATAGAAAAGAAGTATTAGTTTATAGCATCTGTGTTGTCATAAAATTTATCACTAAAAAAATTTTTTTAATTTTTTTCCTTTAACTACTGTATTTGTAACAGACAAAATAAACAATGCAACATTTAATAAAAGAAACAATTAACATAATGGACTTATTATTCATTTCATTTTATCTTACTTCATCATAAATGATGTAATGGTGAAATGAAAAAAAAAATTAACAAGATGAGTAATTAAGTATTTTTTTTATGTGAAAAGTTGTCAAACGAGCAGAAAGTTCACCTGATGTTAAGTGAATACCGCCGCCCATGGACATCTGAGAGTTACAGATGCGTTGACAACCTTTCGAAAATTGGGCTCCGGCTACCTCACTCACCAGACGAAACGCGAAAATATTTTTCATACTTCAACTATGCTGGTCTTCTGTGAGGTTGTGGTACTTACCCGGACGGGCCTGCCCATTCGTGCAACAGCTGAGGCTGCTGCGTGGCCCTACCACCATAGATTATTATTAGAATTGATTTCTTAATTAGTTTTTAATACAAAATTATTCATTTTACTAATCGATTGATACACTAGTTACAAGCAAGTAACCGCGCCTTTTATTTTTGAAATATTTTTTTTAGTGATTGTAGTCACTAAGTCAGTGGGATTACTTATAAAAGTGAGAACAACTTGCGCCTTTTAATACAATTATGTCCACTATGCAAAGTTCATAAAAGCATAAGAAACTCTGATACCAATATCTCTCGTTTCTTAAACAAGAAATTAACAAGGTATCTTTCAATCATACGTGCTCTTCGCAGTGAGCGGTTGTGTCGCTCATTACTAATTAGTCGGTTCGTTCTCAATGTGTGTGTGTGTGTGTGTGTGCGCGCAAGAACATATTATCGTAATTTCCATACGGGCACTCGATAGAGATCAAATTGCAAACTCATCGAAATCTGAAATCTGAGTGTGCAAGGATCACTCATTGATAAAAATCGCCGCCAACATACATAATATTTCGGGAAGGCTTCGTAAGCAACGGTAATAACTTTCGAGAAAATTTCAATTTTTTTTTATATTATCTGTAGGAACAGTTTTCTTTTTTCATTACGGAGTTTGAAACCGATAAACCTTAGGTACAGTTTATAATTTTTATCACAAAATTAAGCACTATGATGAGTTTAAAAAAAACCTGTGAGATCAATAATTAAAATCAATATTAAAATCAACAATTTCATTGGTGCCGGCACCGGGGATCGAACTCAGGTTGCTCCAGTACATTAAACTAAAAGTGAGCTTGATAGCTCATTATCCGGGCGCCGTGTTCGGTAGTGCCTTTACTTTTGATTTTGATTCTTAAGGCCCATTTACACGATGCCATTTTCTTGTACACACAAGAGCAATAATTGAATGCAATAAATTGCGCGCAATAATTGTTTAAACCATTTCTTGTTTAGACCATGCAACTCATTTCCGCGTCTCCGCCTTTAGCCAAATCTATTTCCTTGCAATTCAATTGGTCAACTCATTTACTCTGAATTAATTTCCCACTACCTGCACAATGGAATATTCGTTGTATATTTGTTACTCTGCCTATTTTTATATCAGTTATGCGTCTATTTAAGGTTAAAAAATGGATGGTTACAGTTTAACATTATAGTCTGTAAAAAATTGCATTTAATTTACATATTAGCTTTCTCGATGATGCGATCAAACTTCGCTGACACCCAATATTCTGGATGATAAGTTTGTCGACGACCATTCATCATCATCATCATCATATTTGAGTCCACTGCTGATCATAGCCCCCCCCCCCCCCCCTAGACTGCCATGAAGTACAAACCTGAGCCACCTGCATGCATCGACATCCCAGCTCCCGCACATTTGCACTGGTCGTCATTCCATCTAGTGGGGGGGTCGTGCTACACTGCCAGTACGAAGCTGCCACTTGAGAAACTTTCTTCCCCATCGGTTATCGGTATTTATCTATGGCTGTGACCGTTCTGCAACCATCAAACGAGATCGCAGCGATGGTGCTTATATCAGAACTAAATTAATTTACTCCGATCACAGATGTATAGCTTTCATCGCAACCTAACACTCGTCATTTGATAAGTGCAGTTTATATACCACCAGGTCGCCATGACAATATTTACGAATCTCATCTTAATCAATTTAATGCTTTAATAAATAGCCCAAGAATTTATATTCCCATTTTTTTATTGCAGGCGATTACTATTATTATTTTAACATGGGAACCGCCTATTTTTGGACTTTGTATCACTTAATAATGCGTCAAAGTTGGTTTAATTAAAATAACAATCTAGATCTAATACTTGATTTGTTCATATTGGGCTTATAATGACGTTCAACCCTTACATGCCACTATTTTCACATTTTTGTGTGTTTTCTCACTTCAAAACGAGACTTGTCGTTCGTACGTTACATACATTTGGTCACGATCCTGAGGGAGCGAGAAAGAAAGCAATGTTACATATTGTCGTAAACGTATGTTGTATCTTACTCGTGTAAAAAAATCCCCGCTTTCCCGTCTGGTTTTCCTCCGCACACTTTCGTACTTTCAAGTGTAAAGAACGTGTAAGTGGAAGAAATTAAGTAAAACATCAGAATAAAAATTACATAGTACTAAAATTTCCATGTATTACGCTGCTTTACCGGAAAAAGAACGATTTTTATCTAAAAAAAATTCAAACGTTTTATCAATCGGATTTTCAACTACTTACATGTATCTATGCTTTCAGTGCTTTTTTTCCAATATAAAAAATATTATCCGAAGTTAAAAAAAAACAGTTTTATAAATACAGAACAATTTATTGTACAAAATAAACTAAATAATGACGAAAAATTTACATACATGATTAATCTTATAAATATCTTATAAAAAGTATGGAGTAGCATTTTGGGGAGGCACTTCCCTTTCACTATCTGGAACTGCTTGGAATATTTTTGCATTCCTGTCGTTAACACTGAGGAATTCCATTATAGAAGCGACATTGCCACAACGGTAACAGTAATTTGGAGCTGACCAAATGGTAACAAGCCTTTTGCCAAACATGTACTTGTAACCTGAAACTTACAATAGCTAAATTAATTTTGATACAAAAATTGTCCTTTAACCAATAAAATTTTATACTAAAGACCCGCAAGTGTGCCTGCAGGGAAGCCATGATAACGTCCCGATTAGAAGTTCTTGTCTTTAGTACACGCTAGGCAGGACGAAGTCAAAATTTCGCGAGTTTTTAACACATTCAGTGCCACCGACTCGCCCTGGGTGCTTATTACTGCGAGTTCATCACGTTTATAGTTAATTCCAGTGTCAGCGATGCGCGTGAAGAGTTCTGATTGTTTCAGTAATTTCCAAAACGCATCCATATGTTACGTTAAAAATTATGTCTACACCGTAATTTGTAATAGGAGCATTACACTCACTTATTGATAGGACTTTACATACAAAATCAAAATCATTTATTCATGGAGATAAGAAAAATACATTTAATTTATCGATAGTATTTTTTTTAATCTACGACCGTTTCATAATGAGATTCCTCTAATGGAGAAGAAACAGGCGAAAGAAACTCCGTAGGTATCCTCTTTCTCCTACCGGTTCAGAAAAGAAAAGCCACTGGATGAACCGCGACCTGAATATGTAGGAATATTGAATACTGTCCCTTACGGTTTGTACAAATCAAACTACATTCAATTTTCAGTCAACATTTGATAGCTCCACAGCACTAGTTCCAATATGAAGAATGTGAACATTAATAATGCTAAGGGGAGTAATAAAGAAAAAGGAAAAAATAATAATAATTCCAACTCAAGTTTCTATTGAGATTGTATAATTTAAAAACAATAATTATACAAACCGTCATTAACAAGTTGATGAGCTCTGCATATTAAATTTAAATTGTTGGTATTCATGAAAAGTTCAGTTACATAACTACCAAACAACCAACCAGCCCCACGAGGACTTAAAGCCCTGTAAGTAAGTAAGAAGGCACATTACAGCTTTTCTAAAGCAAAACTACATTTATTAGATTAAGAGTCACAGGGAATGGGTGGATGCCAATTGCTAGTGTCATTCCCAAGGCCTTTGTTTTATCAGTGGACATCTTTCAGCTGATGATGATGATTATAATTTGTTACATAAATTCTAGATAAAATTAAAATGTATTTTAATTGAACTTCATTTAACACAATTTTAATGGTCATTACAAAACAAATTTCTAAACTTCAGTTTAAATATTACTCTGGATATAAAAGATAATATTGGTGTTCACTATAGCATAGTAAATATTAGTTAAAAACCACTATAAACAAATAAATAAGTATTATACTCACCACATTTCAATATCAGCAGGATCTGACCAGAGTAAATCACAAAAGGCACCTTTGTGAGGTATTTGTTGATTTCTATCTATACAACGGATTTGATCCAACATGGAAATCTCTGGTGATAAACCACCATGAACACATAAAACAGTCTCATCTATTAACTGTGAAAAGTAAATAAAGTTATAATGACTTAGAAGTTAAAATCTATTTTTAAAGCTGTATCAAATCACCATCAAGAAATCAAATATTATCCCATTATCATATATTCACCCTTATCATTGCAAAAATTTACTAAAACTTAAAGCTGAGAAGTTAACAAATAGGTACATAATTGAAAATACTTACAGCTGCTACTGTAAGAAGGTCAAAGACTCTACAACAATCTTTCCAGGCATTTGCATTTCCATACTTATTAAGACACTCATCATAAAATCCATAAACTTTTGTAATTTGACAGGTTTCATGATTACCTCTAAGAAGAATTATCCTGTGAAGGAATTATCTGGTTATAGGTTGAAATTTATTTCTCAGTTTATTTTTAACATAGAACCAAAATCAATAACCAGATTGTATAATGTATAAATCTTTGTAATAAAAAACTATACTTTTTTTTAAAACAAAAAAAAGTATAGACAGAATCTTAAGTTATTTTATATTCATCTCTATGGTGACTATAATGTAATCATCTTGATAATTTGAAGAAAATAAATCCTGTAACTAAACAAAAATATTTTTTATCATAGGTAAATTTTATTAATGTTTAATAATTGGTGCATAATATTGGATACAAAAGGCAAGAAGGTATTTAGTGTAAACAGCAATTTCATCAATGTGAATCTTTAAACTTAGTTAAATGAAACTGTGTCAACATTAAGCCACTTACAAACGGATTCTGAAACACTGATTATCGTAGATGTCAACTAATCAGCTGTCAAATGGATTTGAAATTACAATTTAGGTACAAAAAGGATGGTTATACTTTCTGAATTGACCAGAATGATTCATTCGACAGCTGATTAGTTGACATCTACATTGATCAGTGTTTCAGAAACCGAGCGTTAGTGTGTTATTTCCAAAAACAAAACAGACATGCCAAATCCTCTTTTAAAGGTATTTCATTTAATAATTGTAAGTTTCAAAATAAAATAATAAATAAATTAAAACTTTCTGATAATTAAATAAGCAAATACCAGCAAAATTATTAAAACTTTATTGTAACGTAAACTAAATAATAAAACAGCTGATCTCATGTCCAATCAGTCTATGTACAGATTAGATACGGACCTAGAAGAGGTCCTTCATCAGGGTGAGTGCCCTACCATTAACATGGACAGCCTTACAGAAGACAAGCATAGAGAAGAAATATTTATTCTATAGCATATAGGTAGTTTAATAAGTCAAGTAACCAGGGCCTACCCACTCAATTGAAGTCTAACCCTTCAACTGGTGACCTGAATACTTGTTTACAATCCTCTTACAATAAAAAAAAACTTTAAAATAAACTGTGGTAAGGCTTTACCTGTCTGGATATCTTGCTTTTAATGCCATAAGCAATGTCAGTGTCTCTAAACTGTAGTAACCACGGTCTACATAATCTCCCATGAAAATATATTTTGTTTGAGGCACCTGACCACCAATATGAAATAGTTCTTCTAAGTCATAAAACTGAAAGTTACAAAACATTAATGAAATTATATTGAATAAATTCCTTTATTTACATAATTAATTTATCACTCATGATAACGGTTATCTTTTTTTATGTGGCCTGTGTATACAGAGTGTCTTAACCATCGCGACAATAAATGAACACACATAAAGAGGATAACTTTTTAAAATTATATTAAAAATTTACATTCTTTAAACATCAATATTTAACGAGTTATCAAATTTTCCAAAACAAAGAATTTTAGAACACCCTTACATATAAAACTTTAATATAAAGTTAATTTGTAAAGGTCACAAAGCATACGAATGGTTGAATGAATGTAAAAGGGACAAACCTACTGTTAGGAGAGGCTTGTAATGCGGCGCTGTGGCAACAAATGAAAAAGTCACTGAATGTATGAATTAGGATGTTACAAATTTTGTTTCTTTTTTACTTAATTAGTTTGTTTGAAAAATATTTTTTTTAATCATAGATTTTATTGAACATTAATATTTTTTTATGATTATTGGTAGTAACATTAGAAGTGTGTTGTGTATAAATAAAAATATAATGTATAAAATCATCAAAATTTTCCATTTTTATTAATTTAGAAAGTTTTTAAGGTGAATAAAAGTTGGGTGTTCTCATGCCAGTGATACTGTAGAATTTAATTCTAACACTTGCTCATTGCCAATCATATTTCTGTTTTATATATTCTTATCACAAATATCATGACAAAGAAATTTGTGTTATTTATGAGGTAAAGACGAGCTATGATAGCAGGGTATCCTGGTGCTCGCCTTTAATCAATTTACTCAAGCAATCTGAGTTCGGTCCCCAATAACACATATACAAATGAAATTGTTAATTTTAAGTGCTAACTTATCACATGCTCAGCGGTGAAGGAAAGCATGGTGAGGAAACCTGCATATTTTCGTAAAAATAAAAAAATATTTCGAAAATATGTAAAGTCCGCAAATTCTCAGTTCGGTCGCGTGGTGGAATATGCCCTGATACCCTCTTTACAGAGAAGGCCTTTGCCCAGCAATGGGACTTTTATAGGATGTTACTTTACCTGGCCGTGTATATCCCCGCAAACAGTGACAGGCGTCTGTACCGGCTGGACGTTAGGTTCTTCAAATAACAGATCACAAACAATATTACATAATTCACGCAAATCATCTTCTGGGAGATATTTACACTTTTTTGCGATTTCTATCCACTTATCTACGTCACTCATTTTATTATATATATGAAAAAGAAAATAAGAAAGTTATTGTTTCAATCCGAACTAGTCTTCCTCCTTTGTGTCACAGTGACAGTCTGTGTCTGTGATAGGAGCAGGGCTGAATTTAGGTATAAGAAGATAGTACAGAAAATTTAAAAGGACAGTATTTGTAAAAAAGTTATAGTACACTTAATAATTTTGATTTTAACAGGCAATAATTTACTCCTATTCCAAGTTTATCAATTCATGTGGTTGACATATCCAAATAAAGATAAAATCCCCAAAACAAAGTATGATAAAAAAAGTTTATCAATTCTTCAATATTAGTTATATCTTTAAAATTTAATCTTATTAACATATCCTCAGTAGGAATAGAATCCGTACAATTCCCACTTTTGTAATCATCTTTTATAGCGACACAACAAAATGAAATTGCGTGTATGGATTATGTTTATTTCTCTTTACAGCATATGAGCTCAATTACACTCATAGTGCAATATGCAAAGTTACCCTTCAACAAGCTTAATATCGAAAGAAAAAAAAGTTTGTATGTACATGAATAAGTATGAATAAGTATGTACACACGTAAGAAGTTATACTTCTTTGACGAAACAAAAAAACAAAACAAGTTAAATAATAAAATCAAAATATCTTATCAAAAACTGATCTTGGCAAAACAGAGATCTCGAGTTTATATAAATATAATATACTTATTCATACAAATATTCACTAAGTAACTTGTTTAAAAAAATAAAAATATTGACTGTAGCTTCTCAGTACATACTTGCAAATGTTATGTATGTCCAAAAAAAAAATGTCCCGCTGAGTTTCTTACGCCGGTTCTTCTCAGGTCAGTGGCTTTCCTTCCGAACCGATGGTAGAGTTTTTTAACTATCAATAAATAAGTGTATGCTTCTACATTGAATAAAGATATTTGACTTTGACTTGTTCAATATGAGCAAAATTATGAAAGCGCCATCTACAATATTTCATGTGAACTGTAACTGGCGAATGTGATTGAGAATATGCTGCTATCTATAAAAATTAGCGGGCTTCAAAGTTATGACTTTTGTGTTGTATCTTAAAATTTCACTCTCATCATTTTTTCATAAAGGACCTAAAGAAGTATATCTTCAAAAATATTTAAAGGGAAGTCCCCGTAAATACCTAGTTCATTGATAATGATAATTATTTATAATCCATGCTAATAGTTGACACGTGGTAATATCCACTTTGGTCCCTATATCGATTGCGATCCAAGCAGAGGTTCGAACCTCCTTCCGAGGGGCCCTTGGATCGTGTCGTGCCCCTCCCCCCCTGTTAGTCGATTGTCCATCTTTTGTTAGCAGGGTGTTGCGGAGTGCAGTGGAGTGGACGGCGTTTTCTTGTAGTCGTCGTGCACCAGCTACGTTGTTCTCCCGAGTCCTTATGCCCGCGGAACTCTTCCGCCGAAGCTATCAAAGCTGCCGGGCTAACAGCAAACTACATGTCACAAAAAAAAGGATTGGCGTTGAATGGTATTTATATTATTGGCCTATTATAATTTAATAAGGTATTAATTTCCATTACCACAGTTTGATTTTCAAGCTAACAAAAAACTTTTTTCGATAGAGAAAAATTACTAATGAAATAATCAACACGTCATTATTTCTTTTTATAAAATTTTATTAGAATCTCAATCAGATTGTTCAGTACTTTTCAATTTTTTTGTGTCGTCGTGGTGTTCTTGTAAAAAGTTTTGTTTGTTTAAAGTGTGGACAAGACGTATTTTTGATTTAATATGAAAGTTTTTAAATGTTAATGTAATAATTAAACCAAAGACGAAGAAGCGTCAGTGTTTTTTATTAATGCGACATTACCATTTGGAAAAGTGTGCGACTTCAAATATGTATGTATTTTTAACAAAAAATATTTTAGTAGCTTTATATCTAACATGTTGTCAATAACAAAATGGAGGACTTTCTTAGTGAAAATAACGAGTTTTAAATATTTTTTTTTCTCGAAAACTATGCGCAGCCAGATAATTCTACTTGTTGTTTATTTCATTAGTGATTTTTCTTTATCGAATAAAATTTTTTGCACCTGATCACACTGTGGTAATGGAAAATTTTACCTGAATATTAACAACTTTTTATAACGACAAGCAGCACTAGTGGTTATATCACCGTCCACGAACGCAGCCGAAATCCAAGTGACCGCTGCTCCATACGACCATGTGTCCCTTGGCTCGAGTAGATAACGTCATATCCGGTATACAGTGTTGCCAGCGCCAACATTCGGCCGTCCTGCATCACGCCTTCGTCCTTGAATGGCGTTGTAGTCTGGTATAAGTAACCCTCATAAAGTTAACACCTTACCCTGTGGCTTATCTCCCTCAACTGGGATGCATAACGCCACGTTAAAAACACTTACCCTATGGCTTATCCCTCACAACTGGGATGTATATCGCCACGTTCAGAACACCTTACCCTGTGGCTTATCTCTCATAACTGGGATGCATATCGCCACGTTCAGAACACCTTACCCTGTGGCTTATCCCTCAACTGGGATGCATATCGCCACGTTCATACCTTAAATTTTCCAACTACTAAAATGCTCAATAGCTTAACTGGGTAAAAAGTATAGTTGTGTATCGCTATTTAACGTTTTCTCATATATGTTAAGTAATTAATTAACTGGAAGGTACTCACCAAAACTTTCGTTACATTTAACTAAAAGACTTTATCACCATTACATATAGTAAGTATAAAGGTATAAAGCACACTGTTTTATTTTACGAGTGTAGGTATACAAGGAGAAAATATGTCGCCGATTGTTTGAACAGCCAAATGCGAGTTTTCGTATTGAATCCTACTTCTAACGTTCTAACGATTTTACCTTGATCCTTATATTTTAACTATCATTTCTTATATATTATTTATTTCTAGAATTTAAGAAAAAAAAAGGATAAACTTAGAAAAGCCTCCGTATAATGCCCCATTTACACGTTATGTTGTGTTAACTATTTACATATGTATATTTTAACTTAATTCATTCGCGTAAAAAGTATGAACCATAGTAATGTGGACATTATTTTTTGCATTTTTGCTATCGGTTGGGATGTCAAAAAAATATTTTGATTATTTATATATTTTTGATTTTATATATCGATATTTTAGGATCCGATATATATATATATATATATATATACAAAATATTCAATATCGAAATCGTGTTACCAATAATATTTTTTCAAATTGGAATCCGGTGCTGACTAAAATTTTTGACAATGGGGCCTAAAGAGAAAATATCGATATTTTGTCTTCGATGTATGGAGGCCGATATTGATACTTTTATAGATATATAGATAGATTTCTTCACTTTCCACATCCCTAGCAATCGGTCGGGTCTATATATATACATATATATATCCCATTCCGCCATTATTTGCCGCGTACAGTCCATAGAAAAAATTTTTGTTCCTAATTTCGGCAGACTGGTGTTAGATGGCGCGTTTCTTATTTAGCTTAACGCCTGGACATTTTGGGTTGGCCGAATAGTGAGCTTTTCTTTCGGTAATAGTTGGTACTTCGAATTTACCATTCGTTTAATGAAACAATCACCTTTCTCCCAATTTATCTCGACCGGCTACTTGTTTAATACAATTATCGATTAAATTGTATGCGGACATCATTTTTTGCAATCGATCGAATCTAGTAGTGTCCGCAGTGGATATTGCTGGTATATAGGGAATAGAGTTGGGAAAGTACTGATCAAAGAGTACATTATTAATAATATGGTACTGATCCTTGGGGGATGCCCGCTCTTAAGGCGATAAAGCGCGCCATCGATTTAAAATTTATATCGACCGACAGCTCAATATGAAAAATTCCAACGTAAAATTAGGAAACAGGCTATTTAGTTGTTCCAGATAGACTTGTTATTAGTAAAACTAATAGGCAATAAAAGATGGAAAGGTTTTTTAAATTTTATTTAATCTGAAAACAAACATGCATGTACATTTTTAAAATGTTACTACATCTTGTTATTGTTGGTGCCATTGATATGCCGTGGTGAATGGGGTTAAAAAAATGCAAGCTATTATTAAACTTATTGTTAACTGCATGGGAAGAAAAAAATTTTTTTTAAATGGGACGGATCAAACACCTTTTAACAGAGAATGGCATTTTCTGGAATCTTAAAAACAAACTTTTTATATAACAACAGACTTTTTGTAACTATATTGCTGTATTAATTGTACTAAATACAATTTGCTACTCTTAAAATTGGCCATTTTCTTTTTGTTGAATATAGTTTAGAATCCGAAAGAAAACATTATTGAATCCTTTTGGCCAATCACTGAGTATGACATTGCCAAGGCATAATTTAATCACAGAATACTATTTTCGAGATAAAAGCATTGATACTCGATTTTTCACTGATTTTATGACATAAAAAATCTATCCTTCAAATTATAATTTTATAATTCTCATATTCCATTAAAAAGAATTTAATGACCAGTGTCTGTTTTTATAAGCTTATAAAATAAATAATCCTAACGACATTTCAAAAAAGGATTATACTAAGTGTTATATCTAACAATTTCGAGTCACTACTTTTGGAGACTTTCAACATTGAGATATAAAAAAAATTCTTAAACCCGAGAGAGTACCAAGTGATCACAGATTCTGAAAAGTCCGTTCATATTAGTACAAAAGTAACCAACACGTTGAAACGGATTTGCTTAACACTACATATGAAAGCTGATACTTGCCCATCACCAAGCAATAAATATTAATTGAGATAACCATAAATAATTTGAAAACGCAAGATAGATAACACTTAATATTGACTGATCAGGAGGTAAACAACTATGAGCATGTATCAGTTTCCAATTCAACTACATTACAAGAGATATGCTATCAGTAATTGCTAATGAAAAAATATGTTTGCTAGCCAGTACTTCAGAATAAAATTACAAATGCATTATCAAACTTTGGCAAAAAGGAAAGATCGCTTATTAGTTATTACACACAACCATCCGTGAATCACCATTTCAATATATTTAAGACAGTAATAAATAAAATTTAATACTCAATAACTACAAGAAAGTACTGGCATTCAAACATTTCACAATACAAATGACATAACATTATTATGTTCGGTTTATTTTTTTTCTTATTCAAGAATTATCGCATATGGTCACCCTTGTTTTTATTATTTTCTTGAACACATAGGAATGAGTGGTGATATAGCGCCAGGAGCCAAATTTTTGATTTAACAAAAAGACCCTGTGACATATGGTTTTTTTTACAAATACTAAAACTTACTACAACACTACAGGCCACATTACAAAGTCTATAGAAATTTCAAGGGGTTAGTTTTACTAACCATACCAAATGGATAATTTAGAAACAGGTACCAACTTCAAGTAATCAAAAAATAAGATTATATGAAGTATCTACACTGAATATATCAGGTTGGAGGCATATTATTTCATCAAAAAATTTTAAACCTAAAACAGTGTATATAGGAACAAAACTGAAAAATAAAGAAGACCTAAACTTACAGTTTTCCTACGATTTTCTGTGAAAAAATAATTTTGTGTTAAGATCAGTATACAATCATAATAAAGATAGACAGGGCTTGCAAAAGATTCTATGAATATCATTGTATGCTTATAAATAACGATCTTGAAGCTCACTTAAAATGAAAAAAAAAAATAATCCTAAAACATGTACCAAACAAAACAAATATGATCTTAAAGAATATAGGCGTCATTAGCATGTTATTCCAAACAAGCAGTGGAAGTATACTTAACACTATAAAAGCATAAATAAAATGCTTTAAGCTTGTGTAGGGCAAAAATATTTTAACATTACCCTTATATCCTTTTAAGACACAGTAAGAGATCTGAGGTTAAAACCCCTGCAATTATTCAACATCAAAAATTAAGACAATTTTTTTAATATTGTTTGTTGCTTGCTTATCAAGGATTTTATGTAAGCTACTACATTAAAAAGAAAAAAAATCTTTATAAAATAGTCGAGGACTGAAAGGAAATACGTACTCGTTAATTTAAAACTTGTGCCCTTTACCGCAATGAGAAGCAAAAATGCTAAGTCAATTTAATTCGGAATTAAATTATTTCAACATATGAATCAAAATCTCTACATCAATCTTCGTACGGATTTCGGAACACATTGTGGTCAATTTAGCCATAAAAACAATTCAATACTGAGGTTAAGGAGGTTTCTTTGATTGGATAGTGTGATGAGCATATACCCTTCAGAGGCATAGAGTTATTAGAAAGAGCATTACCTAGTGTAAGTATTAATGTACAGCAATTATCATGCAATAATGGATCATCATTTCTTATACAGAACAGTAATAATATTATAGTAATTGGCAATATCTAATAGTAATTGCTGATCAATATGTATGTAGTATAAGAGACGAGTATATATTTTATCTAAATAGTAATACACATAATTATAATATTATTATAATAAGGATTATCGTTATGATTAGACACAAAAGTTTTATGTTATTCATATAGTTAAATAGTTAGATGTTTAAGGATTTCCTCTCACATTAAAGTTGTTGTTTTTTCTTAGTCTCAATAAAATATGTATATTGAGATGAAGTATGTAAGATTGACTTTTCGGATGACAATCATCAAAGATTAATATGATACTGATTACGACTAATAACTCTATGCCTACGTACAGTGCGAATTGACAATCGCCAGGAGACTTGCAAAGTTTTTCATCTCTCACTCGAACTGGCCCAGCGTGAATGCATCCATAACTTTCGGCACATGCTCGTCGACGCCAACGATATCCAACACTCCCTCATGGCTGCCATCAGTTGTGGCGACGCGATGCGATGCAAGCGACATTACAATCAATCTATAAAGTAAAGATTTAATACACTATATTTGATAAACATTTTTTTTATGGATCTAACCGATTCTGATATTGGTAAAATAAGTTTTGTGCAATAATTGTGTGTAAGCAAAGAAATTAAGTAAGTGCACATTTAGCATGGCGGCCTGTGGGGGTGATGGTGATGATGATGATAATGACGAAGTTTGCAAGTCTGAAAGTGGATGAAACTCAAAATAGATGCTTGAGTAATAATCATTCATAAATACAAAACTAAATCCTAATATTATATAAAATGTGACGTAATTAATATATTCGAAATATTGTTTTTGTGTTAATACTTCGAAAATGAGCCGTAATAGCTGTGTCCGGGCGCTCGCCTTTAATTCAATATACTCGAGCAACCTGAGTTTGATCCCCAGTGCCGGCACCAATGAAATTGTTAATTTTAAGTGCCGAATTATCACGTGCTCAGTGGTGAAGGAAAACATCGTGAGGAAACCTGCATATTTTAGATATAAAGTAAAAAAAGTAAAGTAATAGCCTATACATATCCCACAGCTGGGCAAAGGCCTCCGGCCATTGATTACACGGCTCAAAAGCATATTAATTAAAATAATATTATTTTTTTATTAATGAGAAAACAATGACAAGCCACATTTTTAATTTGGCACAGGCATTTAGTTTAAGCTACAATATTTTATTGTTATAAAAACTAAGCTTTATTAAAAATAAAGACCTGTAAATATGAATAGCTAGCTTGTTTTTATTACAGACAGACATGAAAGTGATTTAATGCAAATGTAATGTTTATCAAAATTCACCATGTCCATATCAATACTTTACATCCAAAGAGTAAAATGTGGCCCTATTACTAGACTTCACTGTCTGTTTGTAACCAGGCTATATCTCATGAACCGTGATAGTTAGACTGTTGAAAAAAATATTTAAGTGGGGCTTCCATACAACAGAAATGATTTTTTTTTTCATTTTTTTAGATAACTAGCGACCCTCCCCGGCTTCGCACGGGTGCAATGTATTATACATATGAACCTTCTTCTTGAATCACTCTATCTATTAAAAAAAAACCGCATCAAGATCCGTTGTGTAGTTTTAAAGTTAAGCATATATAGGGACATACAGACAGTGGGACGACTTTATTTTATACTATGTAGTGCTGCACAGCAAAGAGACGTTTACATTTCAAGTGGCATTTTATCACAGTCACTCACTTGTTTTGCCTTCCCGGAACCCCTCCACTAACACTTAAACTTTATGGTATGGTATTAAAGTTCAAATTGACTTTTAAGTATTATTAGGGGAATATAGCAAAGTGCTGTTTTTAGACTTTTTCAGACAATTTTTAAATTTTTTTCTTTCATAAGAACCTTCTCCTGATAATAACAAACGCAACAAAAAAAAAAGTGACTTTGGTCCAGCCGCTTACGCGTGATGGCGTGACCAAGGGAAATAGGCATTCATTTTTATATATATAGATGTTACGGAACCCTTTGTGTATGAGTCTGACTTGGTCGGTTTTTTTATTTTAACTTTCTATGTTTCGAATCATTTGTACCATGGATCACAGATTCGTTGACAACCTTAAAAAACGTTGGATCTTCTGTCGCCAAGTGAAACGCAAATATACAGCGTGTCGTTAACACCGCGACAATAAATGAACACACGTCTAACGCTACTTGCCAATAATCATAAAAAAATATTAACATTAAAAAAATCCATAATTAAAAAATATATTTTTCAACCAAACTAATTAAGTAAAAAAGAAATAAAATTTTTAATATCCTATACAACTACAACTAACTGATTCTTACATTCAGAGACTTTTTCATTTGTTGCCACAGTGTCGCATTACAAGCCTCTCCTTCTAACAGTATGTTTTGTCTCTTTTAAATTCATTCAACCCATGCTTGCTTTGTAACCTATACAAATGAAATTTACGTTACAGTTTTAAAAAGTTATCCTCTATATATATATGTCCATTTATTGCCGCGATTGTAAAGACACGCTGTATAATACATTTACCAATATGAATCCAACAATAGTCAGGTGTTGGTACAATATGAATGAAATTAATATGGGACTATTAATATGCTAGCCAAATCAAACCCATAAACAGGGGTTTTGAATTATCAGATTATATTACTCCGTGGCGTAGTTGCTAAAGCATTGGCTTCGGCGTTGGGGGTTTGATTCCCACATGAGACAATTATTTGTGTGACCCATATATAATTGTTTCCAATCTGGTTGTTTGTCTACGTGAAATTTATGTATGTAAAAAGTACTGGCAACACAGAATAATGTTGTCCTACAGTAAAGGCAGTGTTTTATAAAAATAAAAGAGAAGAGAAACAAATATAAAAAAAAAATAACTGAATTGAGAGCCTGTTACTTTTTTGAAGAAGAATAAAAAGAATAAAAATGTGCCAATGACATTTTATACTACATATGGGGACGAGAAAGATGGACGCACCATCTTTCTCGTCCCCATATTTATTTGTTGCCTCTTTTTTTGTATGCCACTACCATTGCTTCGCTTCGGACGCGTTAACAACATATCTGTAGTATAAAATGTCACTGAAGCGTGGCGAATGAACTGACTTGGCGTTGCGCACGAAGCGGTCCCTGTAGCGGCGGAGGGCCCGCACCGGGCAGTGGTCGGGCAACTCCTTGGCGGGCGAGGGCGGTGGCCCGTAACGGCCGCCGGGGCCGCGACCGCCGCGCGCGGTCAGCTCCAGCTCCATGTAGCGGGTGGTGCGGTCCACCATGTTGATGAACACGTCGAACTTCTCCTTTGCCGCGTACGCCCACTCGATGGGCGCGTCCAGTTGCACACGGCCGAGATTGGCTTTCTGTTGCGGAAATTTTCAATTTCTATAGAATTACATATAGAATCGTCCAATTCAATGCGTTTTGGTTGACAGTTGATGTTCAATGGAGTTTCGAATAAGAGATTTTATCAATTTTTATCAGCTGTCGGACGCATCTTCGCTCGCGTTCGGCGTTCGTTTAGTAATGTTACGTTGACTCTTCAACTTGCCATTTCGTTAGTTTCATAATCTTACATATTATGCAAAACCGTTCCGAAAGTTCACGCAAGGAGTCCAACAAAAAACACGAAGGCTCAGTTGTAGTGCAATTTCAGTTGGCTTAAAATAAACTAAAAAAAACAGAGATGTAACTTTTAATGAAGAAATTTTGGAAATAAGACTGGTAGTACAAATCATCAATATCATCAGATTTATAAAATTAACTGCTGATAATTACAGAATAAACAAAAATATTCACGTAATTATATTATTGAATCTTTTTTCTGATATAAACAAAGTTAAAATAATTTTATAATTGTATACAATTCAACACAACAACCGAAATATAGGCAAACCCCAAAATAAGATTCACAATTGTTTAAATATTAGAAGAAATAATATGATAAGAAGATTTAATTCAAATATGTGCTATAGATTGATAGGTTTCTGAGCACTGACAATGTAGACGACATCCCTTTTAGACAAGCTGGTCTTTAGCATGTAGCACAAAAATTAAAAATAATAAATTATATAACATACCCTCAAAATGAACTCTGCTTCATTGATGCTGCTGAAAATGCGTTCTATGGTAACAACTTCCACACCAGTCTCAGTGAATACAGCAATCTTTACATGCTTCTCTCTCTTCAGCAATTGAAGGGCCAAAATGATAGCTAAATCAAAACAATAATTTGCTTTTTTATTATTTATTTTATTATTTTCTCTTATATTTAATCATAACTTTTTTGATATAAAAACCATAATGAGTTTTGAATTGTGTGTTACATATTTTACAAAACACAAAGTGTTACATATTTTGGAGACTGTTATTTTAATTTTTTAGAATAAGTAAAGGGAAGGAAAAAGTAAACTTATGCAACAGCAGAACTTGAAGTTGTTACATAAATCCTATGGCCTCTCAGGAGAATAGTGCATGAAGTTGTGAACAAAATTATTTGGACCACCTACTCACTGGTCTACTTATCAGATAAAAACAGTTGATGGTACACGCCACTGGAAATGAAACCCGTAACGACCTCACAGAAGATTGGCGTGAAGTGGGAGTGTTATACTTCTAAGTTTTGTCTTGTTAGTGAGGTAGCCGGGGCCCACCTTATTAAAAGGTGGCAACGCAACTGTAACCCTATGGGTGTTGAAAGTGTCAATGGGCGGCAGTATCACTTCACATTAGGTAGAACGCCAGCTCATTGCAATTTTCACATATAAAATAGAAATAAGAAAGTTATGTAAAAAGAATTAACAATATTTCACCTGCGTGACCAGGTGTCACATGCTTGTTATAAAAGCACTCGGCAAGCAAATGCCTTTTGCTTTCTTGCTTCTCAGTATCTGCGTCACCACCTCCACCTGGCGTCGTTGTGGTGGCTGTCTTTTTGCCCTTCCTTGGAGGTGCAAAGGTTTTGCAGAAATGACGCCCTGAAAAAATTCAAACTTTTTTATCACACTGCTGTCGATTATTAGAGAGTAACACTACCCTTTTTAATAACATTCTTATACTATTGTATACCAAAGCAAGAGCTTTTATGATCATATAGCGCAAAGCTCTGATATACAAATGTTATAAATACTATTCGCAACTATATACTATTAATCATATGAAACAAATTTAAAGTTACTAGTTATAACAGTTTTATATAATGTTTTTCTTAATCGCCGAGCATGTCTGTATATTACGTTTTATTTCATTGTTATCTTTAAATCTGGAATACATAATAGAAATTAGAAGGACTACAATACAACAAACCATAAACTTACAATGAAATAGGGTTAGTCTCAATTAACTCCAATAATTTTATCATCTATCCATGAGAGCTAAAACTTTCTTAAACTAATGTTTAAAAAGAAAATTAAACTATGATAAAAATTTAATACTTTTATTTTATCCACTCTTACAGTCAACAGTTCTGATTATAGCTATGAGGGCTGTTTGCGGATGGAGGTAAAAAAAATTATATAATATCTCAAGTATATTATGTTTGCCATCAAGTGCACAGGTATTTGTTATTAAAAAAGATGATTTTGTAAGGAGAAATAGTTTATGACCGTTCATGTTGGATGGATATGCAGCAAACACTAATTCAAAATTCTCGCAAGCCAAATCACAGCCAAAAGCTAGTTAATGACGAAATAAACATAAATAGCTAAAAAGACAGAAGTACTAATTTGGTTACACTGGCCTTAAGGAAAAAATGAGTATGTAACCTTAACATGCAGTTTAAGTAAAATAAAAAAGAATATGTAAAATAATTAATAATAATTTCATTTATCATTCGTGTAATAATTAATAATAAAATATTAATATTTTTTTGTTTTAAATGTTAAGATACATATTTACATACATACAGCATAAATATTTAATGCTATATAGATTTAAACGCGCCAGTGCTGTAACGCGTTTCCATTGCATTGTCGTCTTCTAAAGCATTCAGTTAATATTAGTTTAGGCGCGCCTACAGAAGTTTAATCAAAAAATTTTGTGCATTGGACTTACCTTTAAACATATGGTGTCTCATGTCCAAGGTTATCAGGTATCGGGCATTTGTTGGAGGAGTCAGCAGCCAGGTGTGATCAATGAGTTTGTGCAAAGCACTAAGCACAGCTTGGTTTGGTGGTTGATCAATGCCTGAAACAAATATACCAACCCCGAATTTATTAACACTGATAGTAGAGAAAATAATCACAAAGGCGATAAATAATAACATTTAAATTTATAACATTTTATAGTAGATGTTGAAGACATGCCATGGAAAAATAAAAATAAAGTTTCAAATATAAGTTAAACAACTGACCCCAATGTTTGACTTCTTTAGGGTGTCTCCTTGTTACAGTCCACTCCCACAATCCAGTTTTGCTATCGAATATCTGCCGGGTACGGCGACGCTGTTGTTTTTCCAAGGCTACTTTAGCCTTTTCATGTTTAAGAGGTCTAAATTAAGCAAATTATTACTTATATTAGAAAGGCTGATAAAATAAAAATAAAGTCACTGACACAGTTATTTATAAAATTAAGTCTTTCAACTTACCTTGTCTTCTTTTGATAGTTGCAAAGAGTGATATACACAGCAATTGGTGTGATTTTAGATTTCTTGATGATGTCTTGATTGCTTAGAAGTGAGATCAATATAGCAGTTGTTGAGGAATCGCTGGTAAGAAAGCCCATATTGTGGATGCGTTGGATGTTGTACAAAATGTCTTCAAGTGAAAATTGCGGTAGCACTGCATCCCACACCTAAGATCCAATGGCATATATCAACCATATAATACATACAAATGAGAAATAAAACAATATTCTAAAGAAATATTGTTGCATATTTGCCAAAAAAAAAAAAAAAAACAATTTATTTAACATGGTTCAGACAATTTTTATAAAATAAAGTAAAAAATAAATTAGCTCTCTCTTTTTATTGTTTTAATTCTATCTTCATCTACTCCTTTTAGAATTCTGTTTGCAAAAAGCCTTTTAGGTGAGCTCAGAGATTAATTAAAAGGTAAATTAATAAAAATTAAATACATTACCTCTTGTGATGTGAGTAGATGTCCAGGTACATGATCAATTGTGAATTCATTTTGCTCTGCCATAGCTGCAGCTGCAGAAGGATCCTCACAATGACGCAAATCCTCCACCTTCTGAATATAATCAAAAACTTCTTCAGTTCCTTCTGCATTGTCAAGCAGTTGCTTAGCCCTTTTGAGGCCAAATAGAGCATATTTGATTACTGCATCACGAGCTGAAGGATATTAATTATTAAATTAAAATTTATTGCTATTAAATTAAAAATTATTATAAATAAAGTTATTGTTATATAGCTAGAAATAAATAGTAGTATTAGTAGTATGTTATAAAGTACCATGATCATTTTCAGCAATTTTCACATGTGATTTACGAAGCAGAGTCTTATGAGATCGACCATGACGCGATCTCACCCTTGTCATTTCTGTTGATTGGGAGAGAATGCCAAAAGGCATTAACTTTGTCATTTGAAATGCTTTAATCAATTAATTGCAATAAAGAATAAATAAATACATAGTATGATTATCATATTCATGCTGTAGATGCATCCCCAACCTTTTACAAAAGTGGGCCCCACTCTCCCCATATGAAATGCTAGTGTTATACTTCTACTATAGTAGAAGCTATCGTGTGTATTTATTGTATATAGCAACCCATACCACGCAGTTTTGGAGTGAGGGCAGAGCCATTATCAAGAGTTATATTGAAGTGATTTCACCTAAAATTTTATATTTCATTTTAACAAATTTCAGTCCCAACCACTTCATATTTTAAAGCAGTTTTAGATATATTTATTTAACTGCAATGAAGTTCTTTTATGGCAAATTTGTATACTATAAAATTAATTAAAAAATATGGTATTAAAACTTATCCAAAATTTATAAAATCAACATAATTACTGGAATTTTTAACAATATGTCAATTACAACTGAGGATGGTTATTCCACAACTCTAGGAGGTAAAGATAACGGGTTTTAATATAAACTATTACTCTGCCTTACCTTAAGTATAACATTGACCACCTCAACATTATTTTCCCCATTTTCAAATGCTTCATTTATTGCTGGCAACTTATCAATTTCAAAGTATTTATGCGATGTCCAGCAGCCAGGATAATATTTGGGGAGTTCATTTCCTAGATGAAGAAACCGTGTCAATCGGTTTCGAATAGTAGGGTCGAGTGTTGGTGATTCCATAATATGCGATTATTTAATTAACTCGCCAATGATTTTAAAAGCACTGGCGATGAGCAGAGGGACTCTTAATGACTGATGAATGGTACTTAGAATAAATTAATACTTAACTGAAACAATCCATTAATATACGTCGTGCGCACTGAAAAATGATCACTTACCAGTTTTTTTTATTAATATATAAGTAAGAATTTTGACATTACTACATTAGGATTTCTTGAAACGAATTCTAAATGGGTTGGGAATATATATGAATAATCAGTTTGTATGAGAAAGTGGCAAGCGCCGCCCATGGACATTTGCAACAACCATAGGGTTTCAGATGCGTTGCCACCTTTTGAGTGGACTCCGTTTACAATAATGAAAAGGCCGTTGTATATCTTTAAAGATGTACCAAGCACGCCTCTAAAGATAATGAAATACAAATGATCTCATAAAAAAATACCGATTTTTTTTTCTCAGTAACTCGTATACATGCGACCCTTTCGATATACATGCGTTACAATTTGCTTACGCGCCAAACAAGAACAATATGTATCCTATTGTTACGATACATATTGTGATACGTAATGCAATATGTGTTCGATTTATTAGTATGTTTCAATTATTTATCTAATATTTTATTTAGAAATCAAAGAAAGAGGCAGCAAATAAATTTATTACGAGGACGAGAAAGACGGATGCATCTCCGTATAGATAGATTAATAAGTTTATAATCCAGATACGAATGCCGAAGGCAGTAAAGTGATACCGTAAAACGGGGTGAATAGAATTTACGGGGTGAATAGAAATATTTTTAGGAAAATTTCTAAAACCCCGTGATTCAAAAAGTACTACAGAAATCTCAATTATTTGTATTTGTTTTTAAATGGCAACATATTTTCTTTTGTCTGACAACACTTGGAGAGGTTAAAGTTAGCAACATATTTGAAAAATTGACTTCAAACGACAACGGTTTTTTTTGTGTGATTTTACGCTCTTTCTAACTTCTTTTATAAAAAAAGATAATAAGTTCTTTCGAACAAAAAATTAATTTGTCTAATGGTGAATTTCACCGTGTACAATCTCTAAAGGTAAGTTGTTCTGATTAGTATGATTATTAATATATTTTGTATAAAAACTCACACACACTTAAATATTCTTCAATTTAGAGGTGGATAGAGACGACTGAGGGGTAAATAGAAACGGCCTATGGGGTTAATGGAAACGGGAAAGGGGAGAATGGAAACGAGGAAGGTCTAAATAGAAACGCCAAGGGGGTTTTTTAGAACTAGTTTGGTTAGGGTTGTCACTTACTTTGATTTCATGTCGGCAAGTGTATAGAACACAGTCGGGTTCTTATGTTAATTAGAAAAATCCCTACCTAAATATATAATTAAATTATTAAGATTTTTTCAATATTTCATTCTGCACTACGTCTCAAAAATAGCCGGAAAACTAAATTTCATAAGTGTAGAAATATATAAAATGTTTCAAGTATGTAACTATATTTATTTTTTTTATTTCATATGCAGGTAAACTGACTGAAATATGCCACGTGAAATAGATCTGCTGTTTCACCGGAAATTATAAAAAAATATTTTGAAGAATTGGAAATATCACTGAATGGTCTATCGATGTGCAACATCATTAATTACGACGAAACCAACCCTTCTGATGACTGACCCTGACCGTAAAAAAATAATCACAAAAAAAAGGCGTAAAATATGCGGAACGAGTGATGAACCACTCCAAGTCTGCCTATTCTATCATGATCGCGTGCACAGCAGAGGGAGAACTATTGTATCCTTATGTTGTGTACAAGGCGTAGCATATATATGATACTTGGACTGCAAAATTGTGTCATAAAGAAAAAATACATTTCATATTTCTGCCATAACACAACGCACATTACTCAGCCATTGGATGTAGCATTTTTTAAACCGATGAAAACTGCTTGGCGAAATATATTGTGCTAGTGGAAAAAAAAAACAGATGGTCGACAACAAGCAAGTATTCCGAAAGGAAGTTTTCCGCTCTTGCTTGTAATGCTGATGGACGCCCTAGAAAACAACGCATAAAGCAATATTTTGGGAGAATTCAAAAAAACTGTTGTGATTTGATTTATATATGTGTGTTTATTTCGTAATAGTTTATTGATTTACTGTATAAATGATAACATTATGCTCAGTTTGTTTGTTGATGTTTTTGTTTGATGTTCTTTTAGTGTTTCAATAAAGTTTTTCTTACAATCATATTTCTCAATCATTTCTCATTCAATTTTATATATATGTAATTGAGTTTCTCAATTAGGTTTCTCCTCTACTATATTATTATTCTCTACTATATATATATAATACTATATATTAAATAAAATGCCGTCATAGTATTACAGTATAATATTTTGACAACCCTGTAATTTTTTTCTATTAACCCCATATGCCGTATCTATTAACCCCATATTCCGCGCAAATGGAAATTGGCCTGTTTTTGGAATTTTTTTCACAAGGTTCAAATAATTTACCATTTTTAAACAAATAAGGTTATAATTTATAGTAAGACTCCCAAGATCAAAGCAGATTTAATACCATAAACATTGTTTTTATATAGTTAATTTGCATTCGAAAGTCCATATTGTTTCTTTTAACCCCGTTTTACGGTAGTTACTCCTCAGTTCGGTTTTCCCTTTTTCTGTCTATTAATTAATAAGATCATGTACTTTTTTTATGTGTTAATTATTATATTTTCACATAAATTAATAAATTAATTGAAAAGGTATTTATATATAACGTTACATTCTCTTCAATAAAAATTAGGGTTGCTATTTAAGCACAGCGAGTGCTACTGCTAATCGAAGTATTTATTAACATTTGTTTAAGGTTTCTAAGTAACGAGGTTTGACAAAATGGATTGCAATCACACGTAATCAAAGAAATTAATCTGATTAAAAGGTCGCATCTTAAAAACTTTCTAAATTCTAATATATTTGGCTCAGGTTTTGAACATTCAATGCAACAGGCACTCGCTTTTATTCATTACTAGGCTTATAATTGTTTTTTCATTGTAAATTGTATTTTTTTTCGTATAGTATTTTATTTCTTACCCGAGTATATATATAAGAATTGTATAAAAGGTAGGACATACTCTATGACATATGATTCATAAGTTTCCAAATCTAATCTTTTTACACTTTTACTTCACCTTTGTATAAAATCGCTCGATATCGTGAATTTGTCTTGCACTTTCTGCTTTAAGAATTTGTTCTTTAAGTCAAAGGTGATTGTTTTCCTGCGTGCGATTTTATACACTTACGCTAAAATGATAAATACTTTTTCTTATTACTCTAACTATGCTACTATCCTCTTTGAAACTTACGACGTGTGTGAGAAAGTTATGATGAACGAAACGTGTGCTGTTGCTATTTGGATTTGGAATACTTTGCACGGTGATTTTGTAAGCGGATAACATATCTCTAATTTAAAATATCATTGGGCTAAATTATATTACTTGAAATTAAAGGAAAATAAGGCTATGGTAATACCATGACGTTGGTCGCTTTTATGTGTCGCGAATAGTAAAAATTTATTCAATCATTTATTTTTCCCAAACGCGCCAAAAGGAGTATAACTTTAAAATATTCCTCAGATAATTTAACCAAATTATATTACATAATACATGCCAGTGAAATATAAGCCATTAGGTTTATTTTAGTCATTTATTTATTTTTTATGCCCACACAATATATACGGAATTAATGCCACCAAGGACATATTGCCCTTTACATATTTATCCAAAATTGTTTTAGCTTTGGTATTGAGTCGGTAGACAATTTTGTAAAAAACAGTAAAAAAAAAGAAAATATCAGAACCAAGTTAACTTTTACAGTGTGTCTGTGAAGTTTGTGCAGTGTGCACTATTGTATCAAGTCAT